GGGACGGAGGGGGAGGGATATAGAGGGTGGGAGGGGTGGGGAGGGGCGAAAGAGAGAGAGGAGCATATATAGAGGGTGTCCGGTAAAGATTGTGCCAACGCTTGTGAGCGGGTAGAGCACAGTAAACTCAATAGAGAAGTCCTATAACATTTTTTTCTATAACTCTTGTTATACAACGACACCCTGTATATAAATTAAAAAATCTTTCTCCTTTAAATATAATATTAATTATTTTGTTTAGAGAGAGAATGTTAATCCCCCCCTCCTCCTTTTCTCTCTCTCTTTTTCTCTTTCTTTTTCTCTCTCTTTCTCTTCCTTCCCCCTCTTTCCTCCCTCTCTCTCTGTTTGTGTGTGTGCGCGCACGTGTTCATCATTGAATTACGCACGTTGAAATAATGTCAATGCTCGCCTTTACCTCGCCGTTTTTCTTATCATATGTTTCTCTCTCAATCCTTCCTTGTTTTCTTTGCTCTCAAATATGAACGATGCCAGCAAGCCGTCGTGCGAACAATTCAACGGTTTACCCTGAAGACCGTACCGGTGCACGCCATTATCATGTCGTGCGACTTCCGGTATAAATTTACACAGCATATATTCCTAGAAGCCATTTTAGCGTTGCTTGTTTAAAATTGAAATCAATGGTTTATACTCACCTTTATCTCAAATTTAACGTGTATAATATTACTCCTTACGCTGGAAATGATAATTTTCTTAAAAAAAAACATTTTTTTTAAATAAAAAGATATAAATAAATAAAAAAGATATCTTTTTAAATAAAACTTTTTTGAACAATTTCAATAGACGATTCTTTGACATATCTATTGATTTTTTAATCAAAGATGTTTGATGTTTTGGTACATTTCAGCAAGTTACAAAGCTAATGGAAGCATTTATTTGTCTTTATTATATATAAAACTATATGGTACTTTTCTAGTACTCTATTGATACATAAAAGATTAATGAATTATCATGCAAAACAATATTTCAGAAATTATTGCATTTCTATGACTTTAAAATCTTGTACATATATTTGCTGTTTTCTCAAGATATTAAATAATCCTTTTTTATAAAAATATATATTATATATATAACCATTTCTTTAAATAAAATGACAATTGTTATACGGCATTTAAAAGAATTCTTTTTTCTATAGTTTAATCGATTATAAAAGTTTTGGTTCTGAAAGAAAAAAGTCGAACAAATTCTTAATTTACATAAATAACGTTCGAATAACAAAAAAAAATATATCGCATAAAAATAAAATGGCAGCATTTTAGAGTTAAACTTTTAATTTTTTACATTTTATACACTTTTCAATGTTTATAGAAACAAAAGTTTTACAGATATGAACTTGTTCATAGTTCAGTCGGTAAAGGGATATGTATTCGATGTTTTTGTAAATTTTGAATAGTTTAGTTTATTTGTTTTCGAGAAATCATGTGACCCAGACTGGTAAATATATGCATATTTGCGAAAAAAGTATTTAATAAAACAAAGTTTTGCATTATATAAGATTGCAGCGAGAAGAGAGAGAGAGAGAGAGAGAGAGAGAGAGAGAGAGGAAGAGAGAAAGAGAAATTGAATTTATGGTTCTTACCGTTAATTTATTATCTCGTAGCAATATATAAAGGGTATTCTTCTTTTCGTCAAAGATTTCCTTCTCAGCAGCCGCTTCAGCTTTGTGAGATACTATGTTCTTTCTTATAATGCTGACACTCACCAGCTCTTTCGCTTAATGTTTCTCGTATTAATATATATCTTTGTTTGAGAATCAATAATGATTTTTATTATGGACATTATATATACTTTAATATTAACATAGCTTTCGTTTTTAACTATTTTACTCGTTGCTGACTTATATAATATAAACATTTAAAAATAAAAGTCCAAATTAATCCAAATTAAAATGTTTGTCATTATTTATGCGTTTAATTTTAATTGCCTCTTTAATAAATATCTATTTGATAAATTTATGGTTACATTATGGATATAACTTAACTGGAATATCGTAACTCTCTGAATTCTTTCTTGAATTTCTCTGTACGATTACTTTTTTTTTAACTGGTACAAATTGAATCATTTAATAATCAATTTGCCATAAATTTCTATTTTTTATTCAACATATGTTTCTTTTTTATGTTCAGACTAAAATCACATTTATTTTGCACACAATACGAGAGAGTATTAACCATTTTTTGGTAGTTATTCAAGTTAAATATTTGAACTTAAAAGGACATATGTAAATAGTTACGAGAGAGAGAGAGAGAGAGAGAGAGAGAGAGAGAGAGAGAGAGAGTAAGCTGTATACATACAGCTCAAATATCTATTATTTAAAGGAAAACAAGGACTCAGGAATAGATACGGGCGTACGCTTATTTTTATCTGCGCGCCACTTTCCATAAAATGTAGTATAGCTTTCTAAATTTGTTGAAAATTTTACTGAAATATTTCAAATATTTTTCAAATTTTAAACTCTTCAAGAAAATGCAATAAAAAAGAATCAATTTTTTTGATCCGAAAAATCGAAACCCGATTTAGATTGATAGGTCATTTAAGGCATCTTGAATGTTTGGACATGCTCCAAAAAATGCGCTGACAATGCGATTGGTATTTTTTGGACAGCGGTCTCTACTTTCGACAAGACGTGTAACGATTCAAGGAAGCAATTACGAATCGCCGAAACCGATGGGCAGACACTGTCGATGAACGCGTATCTTGACGATTTGCTTTTAGTCGAAGGTATTCGGATAGCGCGATATCACCGGGTTAATGTATTGGGTCACACCACGAGTCATGCCGCGCATTGTGCATTGCACGTCTTCGTCATCTCAAAGGAACTTAAAGGCCATGCGAGCGAACGAGCAGTCGCAGCTAAAAGGTTGTACGTAGTTTTACATGCCCGCATAATATAATTGCCACCCTTTCTCACTTTATCGCCGCTTAATCGAGCTAACGGTAATGCAAAGATGTCTACGGTAAAAGCATAAAAACATCTCGTTCTCTGGCAACAGAGAATTTTTTTATAAACTCAGATCTAAAAAAAAGAGAAACATGAAAAACATATTTCAGTTTTCAAAAATTTGTTCAATTGTTCGACATTAATTTTGATCCACACAAAAAGACCATATATATTCTACACGGATCTTTTCCAAAAAAAACGTATAGCTTATTGTTGATAATTTTTGTTAAGGAGCTGTTTAAATTTTTTTTTCTGTATCAATAATATAAATAAAAACTTTCAATAATAATACTTTAACAATAGTTCAATAGTTAGTTTGTTCTTTTCTTTTTATTGTACGAAAATGCATCTATTCTTAACATAAAAAATATCTTAATTTAATTTTAAAAAATATTAAAATCACACATTTATGATTTAATATGAAGATGACAATATAATCAGAGATTAAATTGTAAACATTTATAATTAGTTATCAAATAACAGTAATTTTTGTACTTATATCTTTTTTTTTCGAAAAGACAATTATAAAATGAAGTCTATTTATTCTAAA